TCTCTTTCTCTTACCCTTTCTGGATCCATCTTTTTCTGCCCCACTCCCTGCTTTTCGCCTCTTTCTAGGCCCTAGTGTCTGACAACAGATGGGAAAGGAAGTGAAACTCAAATTGGGCACGTGTGACCTTTGCGGCCTGTTCTGTTGCCTCGAGGTCTCCCGTGGAAGCTCAGCCTGTGGCTTAGAGGAAGCTTGACCATGAATTTCTGGCCTCCTTTGCCTCGATCTCAGTCGCCCACAAAACACAGACGTGCAGACTCCTGGGGGTCACTGTGACACACAGCAGTGGCACTGACGTCGGGTGCCCAGCGCTGCAGCCTTGGGGGGTGCAGTGTCGGTTCCCCTGGGCAGGTGTGCTGTGGTGGCAGAAACGCTGCACCGAGAGGCGGGAGTTGAGGGTGCCACTCGCCTCCAGGCTGCCCAGCTCCAGGGGACTCCTTCAGGTGAATAGCGCCCCCTGGAGTTGGGCAGTGGTGAGCTGTCACTAGTCATGCTGTACTGGCTGGTTATCTTCCGTAACCTCGGTGTCTCATACATACAATGGTGCTGATAATACTTGTCTTATAGGTTACTTATGAGGAACACATAAAATAATGTGGAAAGGGCTTTGTGAATGGTCAGACCCCCCTTCCCCCCCCTAAAAAAAAAGCACCTGTGAGTCTTTTTGCTTTTCAGAGATTTCTTTTTCATGGGTCTGTGGATGCTTTGGGCTCTTTCCCCATTGCCTTGTTCTTAACTCAGATGAGAGGAGCTCGGTTTAGGCCCAGACCTTCCCCCAAGGGCTGGAGGGCAGGGCGGGGCAAAGTGCGGGAGGCTTTGCTCAGCCTTAAAGCCAGCCAGCTGCCCCTGAGGAAGAGAGCCCACAGAGGCTTAGGGAAGGAGAACCTGTACTGGGTGGTCGGAGAAGGCTTCAGGGGCCAGGCAGGGCTTGAGTCGGGAGCTCCATCAAAGCCATCTGTCCTGCATGCTACAGAGAGCCCTGGGTGGGAATCCAGCTTAAAGCTCTCCGAGCCCCAGCTTTTCCATATGAAAAGCAGCGAATATTGCTGGCCTCACAGGCAATTAAGCGAACCAATGCTGGTAAAGCACCGAACGCAGTGTCTGAGTCATAGTAGGCACTCAGTCTGTACATGTCACCTCCCCTTCCCCTTTTCTCACGAGCAGCACCTGGCCCTCTGACGACCAGGGTTATAGCCTTTCCTGTCCTGGGTTTCCCCTGGACTGGACACAAAACTGTTACCTTATTCTTTGTTTGATATTCACAACAACACTGGAAAGTAGTTGGATGTCCTGGAATAATGTAATAATATTAACTTTGGGCCAGAAAATGCATTTTTGTCATTGTTGTTGGGGGAAAGTTTGATATAGTGAAAAGAACATCGGCCTAAGAGGCAGATTTGAAGGCTGGATTTTTTATAACAACACCAACAATTACTGAATATTTCACGCCAGGCCTCATGGTAGGCACTTTAACCTGCATTCTCTCATTTAATGTCACGACAGTCCAAATGACACAAGACCTGTTATTAACTCCATTTCATGGAGGAGCATTCTGAGGCATAGAGGAGGTAGTTGCTTGCTTCAGGCCACAGAGCCAGTAAGTTCACTCACGGAGTTTTCACAACAACCCATTTCACAGATGAAGAGATTGAGGCTGAGGCTCAGGGGGAGTAAATAATTGCCTGAGCTGGTGACATAACTGGGATCCATCCCTGGTCTAACTCCAATGACGGTCTCCCTCACTGATTTCCTGCCTTACTTCTGGCCTCAGCTGGAGGGGTAGCCACGGGCCCTGCAGCCTGAAAGAGAATCATTGTCAAGGGAACAAAGATAGTAGCTGGGAAGACTCAAGTAAATGTCTGAGGTTCAAGGAGATTTGATAAATAGGGTTCGTTGGTGAGAATTGGGCAGGACCTGGAGGGCAGAAGAAGGTGCTTAGAACTAACCCTGGGATGGGTTGGAAGGAGGGAGGAGACCTGCTTTTATGTAGTGCCAGCTGCCTGGTGATGATGCCAGCTTACAGGGGCTGCTGCCGGCTGGGCACCTACGTTGCCTTCATTACCTGGGCCTCCTGATTGTGAGCAGAATCTGTGATTAAACTAATTTGGCCATGAAGTTGCACCATCCTTCCAGCACCTTTTGTACCTGATAACCCTGAAGTCACCCACGTTGAAGTTGCACCCCCCTCGGATTCCCAGAGCCGCCTCCCTTGGCTAGCTGGGGCTTGGCCAGTGCTCCGCAGCATCTGCCCAGGCTGCAAAGCTCTCTGTTGCTCTTGGCATGTATAATAGCTTAATTTCTATTTCTCTGTTTGGAAATGCAGTTCATGGGCACTGAAGCGGCAGTGGGTGCTAAAATGGTTTCTGATTGCAATCTTGAATGTTAATATCCTAATACATTTTATCATCAATGACCTGTCCCCTCTGCCACAAGTTCTCACTCCCCTTTTGCAAAGATAGGCCCGCTGCCTGCCTTTGGATCGGCCTCACAGCCCGTCTCATTCCTTTGCTGTCTCCTCCCTGCTTTCACAGATAGCATTGTGCTTCGCCAGTGAAGTCCACAGTCGTGGGAAATCTCTGACTTAGAGGATATGAGAAAGCGTTTCATTTTGCCGGCGGGGTTTAATAGGGATGATCTAATCTCTAAAAGGCATACATTATTTAAATTCCATGCTTTTGGACAAGGGGGCCCCTGACATTTTTGAAATGTGGCAGGGACAGGGTTCTGGTTTGCCTCTGATCAGCAGAGCCTACTGCTGTTGGTTTTCCTGTTTGTAATTCATTTCAGGGGCCTGGTTATACGGGGGTAGGGCTGGGGGTGAGGGGGCAGTACAAGTGGTGAGGGTGCTGGAGAACATGTTCTTTACTCAGAAATCTAAAACCACAGACTCAGGGCAGAAGAGATGGGGAGAGTCATCTCATGGCATCACGGGTTACCTGGTCCCCATCTGGACAGCAATCTTGAGATCCCAGGTGAACGGCCCCGATGGGGCAAACAGAGAGCCCCCAGCACCCGCCCCCACCCTGACAGAGCACCTGACATGTCACAGAGGGCCTCACCGAGGAAGCATCAAAGACCCCTGTTGCTGAAAGTGCATTTCTGAGGGAAACCTTGAGCACTCTCAACCACAAAAGGCAGAGTCTGGAAATAAGATGGGGCTCATGGATGGCTTGGGAACCTGGGTTGTGAGTGGAGTGAGACTCGGGGGAGGGACCTGGGGAGTGTCAGTTCAAGCTGAGTTTTTCACCTCATTTGAATGTCACTTTGGTACAGATCACCTGCCTTCCTTCCTACTAAGGGACAGAGACTTGGAGGGGCAAATGATCCCAGAATAGTCCCTGAAGGTTCTGGACCCTGAGCCTTTTCCCACTTCCTCAAATGTTTATTGGGTGTCTCCTGACAAACAGACAGTGAGCTCAGCACTCAGGATGCAAATATGAGTCTCATACTCTGTCTAGCAGAGGAGAGAGACATAAGGACCGCGGAGCGCGGTTGAACAGGAGCCAGGGTTAAGATATGTGTGTATACTGTGGGAACACACGTGAGGCATGATTAAGTCTTACTGGGAATATCTGGAAGGGCTTCAGAGAGGTGATAATGGACCTTGACCTTGAAGGGGGAGGAGGTCTTCACCAGAACGACCCTTCCTAAGTCACGCTTGCTAAGTGTTTGCTTGCTCTTTGCAGGAGAGAGTGAAACAGAAAAGGAAAGGTGGTGGTTCCAGCCCTCAAGAAATTAACAGCTTGTTGGGGAGACATGCCTGGCACGTATAAGCCAATTAAAGCCCTGCAGAGACAGATGGGATTCTGGGGGCGGGGGTAGGCAACTGGGGCCACATGGCGACCCAGGGTTTCCAGAGTTACTAGTCTCTCTCATGGAGCATACAGTTGCTGTAAGGACAGTCAGACCTTGCGGAGATGTCTCAGCTACAAAGAGGCCCAGCCCCTCTGGCTTTGGGTTCCATATTGAAGCAGTTAGCTGGGTTTGGGGGTGGGGGAGGAAGTGAGGGTGAGTGGAGAAGGTCAGTGGTAAGACGGTAGCAATATTGCCTCTGTCTTTACAACCCTGGTGCAATCTGGAGTGTGCAGAATGCCAACATACAGCCTGAGCACGGGGGTCCTTCGGCCTGCACAAGCACCGTGTGCGTTCCCAGCCTTTGCTTACGCTGTTGCTTCCACCTTGGATGCCTTCCCTTTCTCGCCTTCCTGGAATCTTCCCAGACTGCTCTTCTGCACTGATTTCAGGCTCACCGGACTCACCAGGCTCAGCTAGTCTCTGTCCCTCATGTTAAGCTGGGTTCGGCATTGTTCTCTGTTTTGGGGGCCCCAGTGAGATTGCAAACACTTTGAGAGCAGGAGTAGTTCTGGCTCAGGGTCCAGAACTTTCAGGGACTATTCTGGGATCATGCCTCTCCTTCCCCCCATGAGCAGCTTGTGTGGTATAAAGAACATAGGTTTCTTCACACAGATTTGGCAGGATCTCAGCTTTGCCACTTACTCTGGAACTTTGAGCACAGCGTCCTTACCTGTAAAATGGAATAACGACGCTACTGGCATTTTGGGCTGGATCATTCTTTCTTGTGGGGACTGTCCTGCATGCTGTAGGATGTGTGGTAGGATCTCCAGCCTCCACCTCGTGGATGCCAGTAGGAGCACTCCCTCTGCAGTCATGACAGTCGGAAATGTCTCCTGATATTTTTATAATGTTCCCTGTGTCAGGTGTCCCGGGGCTAGGTTTCCCTTGTGCAGCAGAGTCACTTCTGGGGGAGAACCACTGGGATGACCTACCTATTGGGTATGTGCCAGACCTCCCAGAACGGCACCCAGAACAGCATGGATTCTCTCTCATTCCTAGTTCACCTGGCACTTGACACTTTGCAGGCTGATGAACTGAATGGAGCTGTCACTCTAGGTTTTAGCAACTTGGGGTGGAAATGTCATGAACTCTTGGGTTGTCCCCACAATGCACTAACAGAGCCACTGTCATGTTCTTAATTGCAGATTGATCTGGAGCCAGAAGGCAGAGTGTATGTGATCATCGATCTGTCAGGGTCGTCGGGTGAAGGTAGGAGAGAGTGACCTCAGCCTCGGTCCCTTCCATTGACCCTTTGTCTTCCGGGCTCTCCCTTCCCTCCTTGGCTGGAACATTTTACAGTGACATTTAATTAATTGGCACATTTTAAAGGAAGAGGTTATTTTGAAGATGCTTATGCCTGTGTACCAAAAGGGACGAGCCATCTGTTAGCTTTGGTGGAGCAGAGGGGGGATTTGCAGCTCCCCAAGCGAGGCCAGTAAAGCAGGCGTCCCCGCCCGGGGTGCGCCAGGCGGGCTCCGGGAGCGGCAGCCTCTCCGCGCAGCTCCCGTGGGGCTTGTGTGTGCGGTGGGAAGGAAGTAAAACCAGTTGGTCTAACGGTATTCAGAAATAAAACAAATTAGGTGTCAAATTTCAGAATCTTATTTCTGTAGAGCTTTTATAGGAGTGTTACTTTTTTTTTTTTTTTACCAGTTTCTTGTGCCAGGGAAAGCCCTGCTCTTAGAAATACTGGGGTGAGGGACCGTCCGCTCCCACTGGCTGATGACACAGGGTGTAGATGTTCTCGGATATTTGGATTTTTCTTCTTCTTCCACCCTCTACTGTCGATCCTGTCTGTGGCCTTTTACTGCCTTTAAGAACTTGCAGGCTGGTGAGGACTGAGCCGTCAGGGTAAAAGGGAAGACTAGACAGTGAACCCTTGGCCACATGGGAATGGGGAGATGGTGGCAGACTTGGGTTCCAGGAAGGTTGGGAATTAGGACCGAAATTTATTTTTTTGGACCATCTTTCCTCTCTGCCTCTCTGTGGGCAGGAGGGTGGAACAGTTGGTTTTAATGTCATGGCAGAAAGATTGGAAGACATAGGCTGGCTCCTCTTGGCAGTGAGAACAAATGCGGTTCAGGGCCTGTGGCCCAAAGGGAAAGAAACAGCTCACTTAGGTCCTGGCTGGTAGACTTGGGCCTTTTACAGCATCTCCCCTGAGTACTGGGGATTGCAAGCCCAAAGTCACAACCCCACACAGTCTCCGCTACTTTAAGGACGGCGCTCTCGACTGAGGTTCTGTAATGGGAGGAGAGATTCTGTAAGCAAATTCAAAGGAGCTGGTCCAATGGTGCACTTGGCAGTGGTGCCTAATGATTTTCATTTGGCTGATTTCTCACCCAACTTCAACAGGTGTTCAGAATAATTCAGTGGTGTATATAGAGTTTGGTTTGCTTTTCATTGCAATCATTTGGCATGGGTTTAAAACTTTAAGCATCCTTCTGAAGTTGGTCTCTTATATTTTCTGCTCTTTGTCGCAACTACATTTTGGTGTTTCCAAATTTGCATCTCTGCTTTCAGCCCTGAACAGCCCAGAATAGAACCTGATATAGAAGATTTGGGGATTTAGCAACATTTCGTATAAAATATTTAAGATGTACAAAGGGGCCTAAAGAATGATAAAATGGGCACCAGTGTACCCATCACCCAGGTTAAGAAATAAAGCACCGAGTAAGGTGAAGCCTTTGCATAGCTTTTAACAAAACATGTGATCCCAAGTCCCCCAGACTTAAAAGTACATATTTTTGACCCCTGGTTGGGAATTTGCGTATGCTGAGGGCTCACTTAAATTATACAGGGATTTTTGATTACACAAGTGGTTGGTGTCCCTAACTCCCTTTGTTCAAGGGTCAACTGTACAGTTATACAGTGACCCCCTAATTGTAGACACTGGCGAAACATTTGATGAGCAAAATCAATGCTCTTTTTTACTCACATAATCTATATGCAATGAGATAACTAATCAAGTATGTATTTCCTGTGCCAAGATGCTGGGCAACCAATGGGAGGCTTGGGATTTTTTCTTTGAAAAGATTAACAACTTGCAAAATTATAGAAGACATTCTTTTTTTACGTTAGAGGGAAAGGAGGTCGAAAAATAAATGAATAAATAAATTAGAAGTATTTTTTCTTCTTGCTTCTTTGGCTTATTGTATGTGAATGACCAAAGCAGTTTTCATTGGGCTGAATTCTTAGCCTACTTTTTTTTTAAATCTCTCTTATCTAAAAAAAATAAGAGTTTATTTCAGAAATGCTGACACATGCCAGATTCTGTGAAGTGCTAGCCCGGGTTGCTCTGAGGAAAAGGAGACGTTTTTCTGCCCTTTTTCCCTCGCTGTTGGAGGGTTTGGGCTTCTTTCTGGACGGTGGGAAGGGCTTCCTGCAGCCTCTTCTTGGAAGCTGATCTTGTTGGGCTGTTTGTGGCCTGCACGCCTGTCCTCCCAGTCCTGCTGCTGGGACTTTGAGGGCCCTGGTCAGAGGCAGTTATGTTTTTGGACGGGGTGGGAAGGCGAGGAGAGGAGTGAAGAGTGAGTCACCCACACATTTGTTTCCTGGGCTGCCTGGGGAGGGTCCCGTGCAAAAACGGTTGTCACAGCTGGTTTGTGAACGTTTACAGATTCTAGTCTAAGTCCCTTTCTTTAGTGAAAATACCTCACTGTGTCTTCCACAAAAGAAAGAAAAGAGTTGAAATGAAGCACAGCTGATGTTTTCACCACTCTATTATTCTGCCATCAAGCATCCCTTCAAATGCTCCGGTCCCATCAATGGGGGGAAAAAATGTTCATAGAATTTGCAATAAACTGTACAACACATGCAGATACCAAAGAGCTCAGAGCAAGGTGTGAGTATGCCTCCTCCTTTTAGGATCCTTCCTCTGCTAACACACTGTAGAAAGCCTGGATGTTGACGTCTGCCGGAGTTGGAGCTAATGTGATTTCTAACTGTCTAATAAAATTGCAGCGCTTGCATGTCCTGTGCAGTTCCATAATGGGATTTGACCAGTGTGTGCTCTGTCTAAACCGGGCAACCTAACCCCACATGTAAGGGGTCAGGCTGGATGACAGGTAAGGTCATCTCTGGTCGTGTGATTTGGTCCCTCGGTATAATTTGAATAGACATCTATCAGAACTCAAGGCTGAGGGCTGGCTAACGTCTGTAGCAGGTAGAAGGGGTTGAAGGAAAGGAACTCTTCTGACAGGTACTGTGTGAGGCACTTTCCCTACCTCACCCCAGGTAGCAAACCTTGGAATGCTCAGGTGTGCTCCTCCAGCCTCGGGCGCTTCTTAGTGTTTTGCTTTTTTCATTAGTAATAACCACGGAGCTTCCTGGTAAACACGGCAGTACAGGCTCACCAGAGACTTAAATCAGAGCATAATTAGCCCAGGTACCAGAAGCATAAACAGCAGTGTAATTCTCAGATGAGCAGACTATTGCTTCCTGCTGTGCACTACAGTTAGCGTTCCTTCCTTTGCGGTGACGGAATTTGTATAGTACTTCCATTCTTTACAATACTGGGACAATGCACCCTGATTTGCAGGCTCCCCGAGGAGGAACAGTCAGCCTGACCTGGGGCTTCCTAGGCTCCCCTTGCCCTGCCTTCCTTCCAGGTGTAGTGCGCACCTGGAGAGTTCTTCAGCGCCTGAACCAATAGCAAAAAACAAGAAGTAGGCCTTACGGGTATGTTTGAATCACCAAATTTTCTCCAATAAAATGGAGAAGATACAAAACAATCTGAATGATTTTTGCAGCACATACATCACAAATAATGACGAAAAGCCAGGTTCTGGAGCGACTGCATATTGTGGAAGCAGATGAGGAGGAGTGGGCAGGCTCCACCCTTCTCCCCTCTTTCTGCAGCCACATGCAGCAGAAAGCATTCAGTCTCCTCGGGAATTAGCAGCAGGTAGAGTGGAAAAGCATAGGAGTCCACCAGGCCTGGATTTAAATCCTGGCTGCAGTGCTGCCAGTTCAGAGCTTCAGATTTCCCACCCATAAGTGGGGATAACGCCTTGGTTAGGTTCCATGTATGATAGGGTTCCTATAAGAACAGGGCCTGGGTACAGTGCCCTCCCATGTAGGAGATGCTCAGTAAATGCCCAAAGGCCCTGGAGACCCGAGGGCAGGAGGTGGGGAGAGCTCTCACCCAGTTCCCTGAAGGAGCAGCAGGCGGTTCAGGGAAACCGAGAAACCGTTCAGAGGCGTAGCCTGAGGGCAGGTTTCTGGCTCAGGGCGTGCGTGTTCACAAGGTCCAAGAACAGCGCCAGGTAACAAAGAGGTAATTTGTGGACTAATGTACCTGGCAGGAGCTATGGGATTGCTTTCTGCAGTGTTCAGACCTTGCCGCAGGAGTGCCCCTCTGTCCCTCTCTCCTTCCTTCCCTCTCTTTCTTCCCCATCCTTCCCCCAGTGAAGTATTTCCCAGAAGTACATTCTCTCTCGTTTGTGTCCTGTGGTCCTTAATGTCAGAAACTTCCCTTTGTCAGAGCCTGGGCTTTGGCGTCTCCGCTCAGTGCAGACTGAGAACATGTGGTCCCCATACTCTCACTGGCCCTGGGTAAAAACCCTGCATCTGTTTGAAGACTGTTATTAAACTCTCTTCTTCAGGCTGAATCCATAAAATCCCTTAACCTTTCTGAAGGGGTAGTTTAGAAATCTTAACTCATCTCTGCGGCTCTCTTTTGAACTTTTTCAAGTTGCACAGACAGACAGACATGATCAAACTAGCGCTTTGCTCCATTCTGAAACGACAGTGTGTACAGATCAGGTGCCTGACGGCCTGACCTCCATGCGGGAGATGGTGACATTGAGAGGTCAAGTGATGTGCCCGTGGCCACAAGGCTGACTACATGGCCCTACTGGACCCTGGCTCCAGGCTGCGATCCAGCGCCCTGCTCTAAATCACGGCCCCATAATGAGTTTGCTACCTTGGCAAAGACCTTCCCTTCAACTCTTTTTTTTAAGTCCTTTATTCCAGCAAGCTTTTTACAGAACTATAAAGCTAAAGTCATTAGCTTTGAACCCAAAGGTGACTCAGAGAGTCTCATTCATAAATAAGCAGATCTTTTTTCCACTCTTAGAAACAAAAGTGCTGTTGGTCCCAGTTTAGAAGTGGTCAGCTCCTTCTCGGGCTGTCTGTGAGGTGGATCCCTAATTAAGTGTTGGTCTGCACCTAGACCTGCCTCAGCTCCCTGCAGGCTCCTCCTCTTTCTT